TCGACTCATAGAACACTTCGCGCTATGAGAAACTTGGACTGAATTGCATCCTTTTATAAGAAAGACTTAAGCTCTGCTTACGGGACACTTCACACCATAAGAAACTAGGGTAAAGTCTATCTTTCCTTAAAATGCAATTCATATAATCATAGATATTCATTTGTAATTTTAATTCAAAGTTAATATTCATAAGCATTTTTCAAAATTGAAACAAATTCTTACTCATTATCGCGGCAGACCACGGGAGTAAGAACAATATAATAAATAATAGGTGATATTAACATCACAGCTGTATATTTATTGCCTTTTTCAACCAAACCAATTTGCCAATAACTACTAGTTAAATCCAAGCTTAACATGAATTGTTTTTTAGTACATCTTAACAAAACTTCATCAATTGAAGGTAGCAATTCGTAGTCATCCAGCAATCTGTTATTTAACTTTTTGGCATCTAAACAGAAACATATTTCACCATTCTTCTTTGGTACTACAATCATTGCACTAATTTAATTGCTCTTCAAAGTTCTAATAATATTTAATTCCGTCATTTCTTTTTCAACCTGTTTTTTATAGTGTATTGGTACAGGGTATGGCTTTGAAAAAAATGATTTATCATCTTTTATCCGCAATTCGGGCTTATATGTGTTAATTGACCCGGGTTTTGTTATAAACACGTTTTTATATTTAACAATAAACATTTGTAGTTTATCTAATTGACCGGTCGTTAGCTTTTGACACGTATAAATTTTTTGTTTAATTTCTTCATTTGAAAGTTGGAATCTTGTATCTAGATAGCTTTGATTATCGAAATTTTTATCATATCATGATATATTATGGTTATTTTTGCCTTTATTACGCTCAATTATGCTTAAAGTAGCGTTCATTTCGTTGTTTATGTTATACTGTAGCTTTTCTATAACACCATTTACTGTAACCGTTAATTCTTTTGTTTGGGTATCAATGATCATATCTAGCTTCTCTTACGTATCAATTCCGATGATGCAATCCTTTATTAATTTCGGAACCACTATGTATATTATTTTGCTGAGTAATTTACTTATTTTTGTTGGTATCATAACTTGTAATTTCAATCTTGTTGATTTGTTGCCGGGAGCTGATCTGATAAACTTTCCGCAGAGTGGTTAAGTTGGGCATGCTACCAACTCTTTGATATTTTTATTATAAAACTTTTCCGATATGACGGTTACTTCGCTTCTAATGTCAATTAGTGCTTGTACGTTTATACCATTTATTGCCTTTGTTGACTGTATTCATTCTCCGGATTAATATCACTTATTAAATCTTCTCGAGTATCTAATATTGCAGCAGATAACAATTCAACTTTGTTTAGAAACATACACTTAGTTGCATCTCCTCTAGTTTCCCGAATCTGACGCATTTGACTTTGATGATGACTCCAGATCAATATTAAGAACATCTATATCGTCATGAGCTTTATTTTCTAATCTTTTATTAACTGATACTATCAATTGTTCTCTATTTTGCTCATACTCTTTGTTCTTATTCGAAATTTTCACAGTATTTATAGATTTTTGCCATGGATTTCTATATTTTTCTGTTGAGACCGAAGATGATTTTTCCTGTTTATTTTCGTTTAATCGTTCTTTACTAATCTCGGACATCTCTTTTTTTTGTTTACATGCAGCAAACTTTTGATTATCATTACCATAATCGAGCAATATCTGAAACAATGTATTCTTATTTTTAAACTGTTGACTCAAAAAGACGTGGCGAATCCCTTTCTCAAAATGTTCACATAGCTTCTCCGTTAATTTTTTCTCGGAAAATTGTAACTCCAGCTCTTTCACATATCCTAAAATAGTAGTAGCATAGCTTACTCTACTCAATTTACTACTAAAATAGTACTGACCGAATTCAAATTTTCTTCGGGTTTGACGCTGAATGTTTGAGTTCCAAAACCGCTTCTTGAACGCTAATTTATATTGAGAATAGTCTATAATATCATCTGCAATAATGTACCACCAATTTTTTGCCTCGCCCTCTAATGTTTGACTAATGAAAGTCATATATTCATTGTTTTGAATTCTCTTTACTGATATATACTTGTCAAGATCATTCAAAAATTTCACCGGCCTTTCTGTTTCAATACCTTTGACAATAGGGATTGGTATATTAATCTTTGATACTATATAAAAATTTGAACTGTTATTTAAATTATTTTGCGATTGATAACTCTGAATCACGTTTTTCATTTCAAATAACTTTTCTTCGAGTTTACTGCTTGTTTCATTTATATGCGCTTATAAGTTTGATTTTATTTGTTGAATTAATTGATCTGTTTTCTCTGAATCAACAAATGCGTAAAACTTTTGCTTCAATTTTTCATATTTGTTCATTTTGAATTGCTCAAAATCAACAGCCAATATTTTGAATATACCCGTCCATGATTTCGTTGTGTCTGCCAATACATCCACTTCATCCTTCCGAAATCACATTCTAACTTTTTCGTTAGTGATGCTACTTTCTCTGGATTATCTGTTAGTAAATGTAAAATTTGGTCCATCTTTCTTTTTAAATTACCTTGAGCCTGATACAATTCCGTTAACTCATTCGTAATGGCTTCAATCGTTTCTATCTGCTTATTATTATATTTTACAGTTTCGTCTTTCACCGACATAGAATGTAATTCTCTCGTTAACTTAAGTGATATTCTTCTATTAGCCATGACAACATATATTCAGAATAAACCCTAAAAACTAAACAATGGAAGTTGATCGACTCTAATATAAAAAATAATGAAAACTATTCCATTGAGGCATCGATAATCGTCTTGAACCGAGCTTGAATAAGGAATATTCGATTTGCTCTTCTAATATTTCTAATATTTCTAAATTTTAAACCTTACAGTAAACAGAACCTGTGGATATGCTAATTCGTAACCGATCTATCCAAGAATCTCTCGCTGGATTTTCTCAATCACGTTATAAACCAATCTTGCAAGAAAATTTTCATAACAACAGCATTTTACGAAACAATAAATTCAAGTACTTAAGCTAAACCTATCGTACACGATACTAAATCTACTTGTAATTTTTTACCAATAACAAAATAATCTTAACAAATCTACTTACTACCTATAATATATAAGAGGCCTGAAATAGCTCGGTCGGTAGGGCGACGGACTCGCACCCGGTAGGCCTGGGTTCGATTCCCAGTCCCTGCTGATTGATGCAAGTGCTACTGAAAAAAGTTTCATGTGCTTTGTTCTCAAACACATTGCAAGCCTCCGTCGCTGATTAGCACTGATGGAGCATAAATAGAGCGACGTTAAATAGAAAAAAAAAAAAAAAAAAAAAATACCTATAATATATATCATGCAACGATTGCCGAAAATCGTTTAGACTCGCGTGGGTTACTAAGCGGCTGTGCATAACAGCCGCGATCGGTTTGAGAGAGAGAGAGAGAGAGGGCGCGTTAGGGGCAATGACCGGGAGGGGAGAGTTAGCTAGCCAGTATGACTGTGTCCTTCAGTCCGGCTAGATCGCATACGAGTTAGAGGCAACAACGAGTCCTTTGTTTGCGAGTGAGGTCCAGGGAGTTAAGTACATTGTAGTAAGTGTGGGGGTGGGTGCACACTGCGCAACGTGTGCATCAACAACTGTCAGCGACAATCAGTGCAGTGAAACGAGTACACACACTGCGCGACGTGTGTGGCTCTGACACCGTTAATAACTGCTACGAGTGAAGTGCCGAGTGCGCGCAATGCTCAACGTGCGTGGTCTCGGCAACGACGAGAGCAACCACATCAACATCAACAGCAGCGAGACAGCCCCGGCGGAGAAGTAGGCGCAGCGGCAGTCCGTCGTCCAGCGTTAGACGGATACGGTTGGCCACCGTATCCCCTTCGATTTTGCGGTAGGTGCACTGCACTATTTGTTGATATTTGCGTGCGATCCCGCGCAGCGAGCGCGGTGAGTTTATCGATAGTGAGCGTGCGAATAGTCCGCGACGTCCCCGATATTCATTCTCTCTCTCTCCGGTTGAATTGTCATATCGAAAACAGCGTGCGAAAGTCTCTCGGCAATTCCCTCCCTCGTGTACATTTTGAATTAATAAACCGGTTAGAAATCTATAAGAGATTCTCTCTTTACTTTGTCTTCCCTCTGTTCGATCCGGTATTGTTGTTTACGTTTGATTCGAACGCGCCGGTAGTACAGCACGGATCACGTAAGCAACGAGAGAAGCTGCCCGCCAACCGAGTTGTCAGCAGTGGCCGATGGAGCGCTGGAAAGCAGGCGTACCAGCGCCCCTGGCGGAGAGATCGTGAACCCAGGTTAGATCGGTAAGAGAATTCGGCGCAGGCGCACACCGGGACAAAGTGAGAAAGTGTGCTAGGAGCACACAGTTAACAGAGCACCGTCTGGCCGTATTTAAGATTATTATTACCCGTGGTTTGCGGCTAGGCGGCAGCCTGTTACAATCATATCTACGCAATATAAATCGTTGGGTCCGTGTTCGGGCCCCATTTTGTAACACGTAGATTTAGTGTCAGGTTCATGGACCCGTGTCTATCGCGAAAATGCTCTCGTTGGTATAAGATAAGGAAATTGTAGACTTTTTCGTGTATTGAGCACGCGCCTTGCACACTCAACTCGGAAATGAGTTCGACAATTTTGTAGAAAAGAAATCTTTTAGGTTTCTAGAAGATCGCTCGTTGAAGTAATGAACGCATTGCTAATTGTCATCTCTCGAGTCGATCCATCCGATCGTTAGAATATATACACACCTTCGGTATTTATGGCACAGCTCATTATCACGGCTCTTCATTTTATTTTTATAAAATTTGATTGAATAATTTAATTTTGTATGCTAAGATATATAAAATAAATGCTAAGATCTATGTAAATTTTTTAGTCTTGAAAGAAATTTCACTTTATCACTATTTAACTCGATATTAAGCTGTAACGTAATATATTCATGAATGAACTTATTTTTATATTTTTTAAATTAAACAATAGGATCTCCATACTGTTGATCTTAGTGAATTCAAACATGGAGGAACCAATATTACTGCTTTTAGAATTGTTAACCCTGACAGGACACGAGAAACTATAAGAGATTGGATTTTTGGAGAACAACGTTATTTTCGTAAACTCGAAATTGAACACACTGAGGTGAGTTGAATTAACAAATAATTTTGTACGTAAATTCAATGCCTTCATTACCTAATACTTATTTAATAGATATGTACATTAATGAGTTTGAAGTTCGGAACGTTCAACTTGAACGAAAAAATCGAAATTTCGAAAAATGCCTTCTTATCAAAATTAATTACTAAAATTCATTACAATAATGATAAAAAGTCAAATCAAAACTATTGGAACCACCTACCACCCTCTAAAAATTACCCTTAAAAATTAAGGCAAGGTCGAATATTGCTATATGTTATTTAGTACAAAATAATTAATTATTTTTAATAATAATTACTTATTCTTATGTAAAATCATGAGTAAAAATTTTGAGCGCTTGGAATTACGCCGAACCACCCCTAATTATTTAGGTGGCTAATACCCCTAGTTATTAGCCACTCGATATTTAAATTTTTTTTGCGTAAGATTGTTAAATGCCATATAATGAACTGGTGTACAAAGTTTGAGCGCGCGTAACTATATAGAACTACCCCCAAGTTAATTTAACAATATACACAATCAAGGAAAATCGTTGTATTTACGCCCCCATTTGTTATTAGCCACTCCTTTTTTTAGTTTTTTCATATATAATTGTTGAGTGTCATGTAGAGAAGAGGTGTACAAAGTTTGAGCGCGCGGAATCATATGCAACTACCCCTAAGTTAATTTAACAATACATGCAATCAAGAAAATTATTCAAAAATCAAATTTTTCTCCCCTTATAAAAAGGTGTTAGAAGCCGTATTGAAGGATTTTATTCGTGACCTGATTGGTTCAGATACATATGCTGTTATCCGTTGGCAAATAAGCGTGTAAGTGTGGTTTAGAGTTGAGATTTTAGTAATAAATGTTCAATTTTTCATAATTTATCATGATTTGTCATACGGATAATTTTGAAGATTATGAAAGTAAAAAAAAATAGATTGCACTATTATTGTTTATACACTCATATTATGAAACTGACAACGAATAAATCGTTTCATTTAAATAATATGAGATGAAATTGTTCTAAATATTTTCTATTAATAATTGAAAATCTTATTTTTGAATGTGTAAAAGAAAGGTTGTAATGTTGCAATCTTTATTTAAAAAGTAGGATAAAAGGTTAATAATAATTTAACTCGTCGAGAAAACAAACAGTATAAGATTATATTTATTGCAGTTTTTAATGTAATAAATCATGAATTTAAAAACGTGTTACGCAACTAATGCGCATTTTTCCGCTGTGACAAATGTGTGTTTTGTAAAAAAATTGAAAAATCTACCTTTGAAAAAAGGAATTCATGTTAAATTTGTTATTATTAATATAACAATAAGAAATAAAAATGAAAATAAGAGCGTGAAAAATATATCTAATCCTATATATTTTTATTTTTCTATATGAAAAATTGATGCTGAGTGAAGTAACTTCATTAGTGATCTGATTCTGTGAATTTATTTGGGTGTATTCGACATCGTTAATATATTTTAAATAAATTTTGGAATTTTTGAAGAAATTCGCGAAATGGTTTCGGATGAACAATTGAAAAAACAGTTCAGTTAAAATAATATATTTATTGAAATGCAGAGACCTTCCACAGAAAGCTTGATATCATGAACCAATATGTTAAAAATGAACAAAATTAAATTGTTAGGCACAGCTGACGGTTCTATTCTATCCTTATCCTTCCCTTCTATTTTTTTATTTTTGATTTTTATATTTTTTCCACGTTTTATTCTCTTTCTCCTCTTCCTATCCTTTCTTAAAAGAATGATGGTATGATTCTATCTTATTTTAATGTTAATCCTATCTTTAAGGAAAGATGAGTCGCCGACATTCAGCGTTGAGATTGGTTAATGCAAAAATAGAGCCCAAAATTTTGAATTTTCCTATACGTTGAAATATTACTATTATTATATATCAAAGAGTGTAAGATTTATATTTTAGCGGTAAATTCAGTTTATGAATAATTAACATGGATAATAAACAGCAAGAATGGAAATATTTCGGTAAATTGGTTTAAGAACATAATACGTTATGTTTTAAAATTATCTGTACAAATTGTTAATTTTATAACCATCTCCTATACTACAGTCAATATCGTTGTGTTAAAATTTGGTAGAAAGAAAAAGAGGATGAATGGAATAAAATAGAGACTACATGTTTATCTTTTATACATTTTAAATTAAGACGTATGAAAACAAAGGAAATTATCACAATATTAATCCCATTAAATTAGAAGAATATTCACATGTGTTTTCATAGTGGCGGCAGCAAAAAGTATATGATGTTAAATTTATTATACATACAAATATAAAATTGGAGTCATAATCACTACCATTAAGAATGTTAAATTTAGTGTTATATAATAGTGTAATAGCTTTATCGATCTTAGGTCGAATTAATCATTTGAATAATTTTTCCAATATATCTTGAAATGAGTAAAAGTTCATCGATTTTTGAGAAAAAATGGGTGCATGTTCTATTTTTATTCATCAATAAATATTGACGTAGTAGTTTATTTTAAACAGCAGGACTTATTCGTGTCCATGGAAATTTTGCAGTTGACATGTAAAAAGTTTCAATAACGTAATAAATAATAGAACAACTTAAAAAAAAAAAAAAAACGCGCTAAGCGCGGTAAATAACACTAGTAGAAGAACATGAAGAAAATCAATATTTCAATTTTTTGCAGTAAAAATAAATTGACACGGGTTCATAAAAATGATACATTTATTATCTGATTAAAAAATACATACATTTTTGTTGAAACTTTATTTTATTATTTCTTTTATTATAATATTTTATTGGAACTTGTATCTGAAACAAAAAAGGTTTAATATTAAAAAATAATGTTTATCGCAAATAGTATTTGATTTTTACTTAAGGCGTCATTTTTTTAACTCTATCTGAGTTGTTAGGGACTTATTCTCGTCCAGAAGATTCCGGATTTTACGTCGCTCAGCTGCCAGTTTCTAAAAAAAATGTATATTTACATTTTAAAATTATAGTTATGTAGCTGTCTTCCATGTTTCAATTACTCACATTTTTCAATTTCTGGACCTGACTGTAGGGTACCGTTGCTCTGTAAATATTTAGAATTATCATAGTTTCATTCATAAGTATCTTTAGTCAAATTTATACTTTCTCTCTCTCTCTTCCTTTCTCTCATTCTCTCACTCTCTCTTACACTCTCGCGTGCGCGCTTTTCCTGTCCTATCATTTTTCTGTCTTTTGCTTACTGTGCAAGAGGGGTCAGCCACCGTGAGCCACGGGCTGGTCTCTGATAAATTTTACTGGGTTCTTTTTTGGTCAAGAAAGCCGGCGCTGACTTTCACAGGCCGACGTTCGCTCTGGTTGGGGAGGATGATTCAAATAATCGGACACTTTGATTAAATAACATTACATATGGCGATCTCACTTATTGACGCCCTTCTACAAATAAACGCTACAAAGTTCACTTCCCCGTGGCGAGCGCGCTCTCTCAGCCATTCGCGACTAGAGTTCGCGGTATCACGCGAGCGAGATCTCTCAGCGTGCGCAATAAATCTACGCTTAATAATCTGGAATCTATGAACGAGCGAGAGCTGGCGCGAGATAGATTAAATTGGCTTTAGACCCACCGGGCACCGACGATCCGTCGGTAGAGAGGCGACGTCGGCGAAAGCGGAGACTCGCTGGCAACGGCACCCTGGTGACGATGGAGGTGGCTGCAGGAAGGGCCGCAGCTCGGCCTCTACTCCGTAGACGGCATATGGTTACTGCTGGAACTGACTCTGCTTCCTTAATAGCTCTCCGTCCTGGCCGAAATAGCTGTCGCGCCAGTGGTAGTGGTTCCTCTCTAGTCGGAACTCTCCAGAAGGTTCTCTCTAGGCGGCCCTAATTACTCCCGAGCTCGCGCCTAACTGCCCTTCTTCTCTCTTAATTTCTCAGCCTCGCGCCGCCGCGCTCCCACTTTTCTCGCTGTCAAAAATCAGTCAAAATCGCTTTCTCTCTCTCTCTCGCTCTTCTCGCTCCCACTCGCACTCACGGCGACACTTCGCTGATTGTCGCGCTCCTCTCTCTAGATCCTGCAACGAAACAAGCATGTAGTCGCTATATAGCGTATACTTAGTCGCTGCGTTCACGCGAGGAGAGTGCCGCACTCAGGGCCAGCTAGCATCGCTATGGCCCTGTCACAACTGTCTCTCTCTGTCTTCCTTTCTAGATTACTCTCTCTCGCTCTATCACTCGCGCGCGAGCTCTTCTTCTTCGGTCAACTCTCTCTCTCTCTCTCTTCTTTCTCTATCACTCGCGTGTGCGCTCTTCTTCTTTGGTCAACTCTCTCTCTCTTCTTTCTCTCTATCACTCGCGTGCGCGCTCTTCTTCTTCGGTCAACTCTCTCTCTCTCTCTCTCTTCTTTCTCTCTATCACTCGCGTGCGCGCTCTTCTTCTTTAGACAACTCTCAATCACTCGCGTGCGCGCTCTTCTTCTCCGGTCAACGCTGTCTTGCTTACACACACACACACTCTCTATCTCTCTCTCTCTCTCTCTCTCTCTTCCTCTTCTTGCAAAAGAGTTTTGACCTCACTGAATGGGCGGGGCTGGCGGGGGGGGGGGGAGTTACAAGTACATATTGTGCCCCACAATGTGTAAAATAATTTCGATTAATTAAATTTAACTTTTGACTAAATACAACAACAAAATTAATATTCGTATTTTTAATGCCAACTTTGAGTAAAAATGAAGTATTGAAACTGTTATTGTTGCTTGATTTTTGTAATACAAATGATGTTGATATCAGAAAATAATTCAATTTTCTCCAAATGACTCAGAATATTTCTTTGCTAATATATGAAATAGTAAACCAACATTATGGTAAGCGTATAGTGTCATTGAATTTAAGTCCTACTTGAGTAACGTACCACCGTTTTAATCTTAATTAATATTAGAATAATGTCAAATTAACATCCCCTAAAACCACCCTCAATAATTCATAAATTATGAAATATATATTTTCTTAGA